GGTGGCTACTGGATTTCTGTGGCTCATTTAAGAAAGCTCTTAGATGTTAAATCTCTATAGTTAGGTGCAAGTAAGTTGTCTATGTAGCTCTGCTCTGAGCAACTTACGCAGTGACGTACCCGTTGCTTGAGTTTTAAAAATTGAACTCGCAGATCGAGCACAGCACTTGAATAATGACTTTACATTTGCATTCTTTTTCTGAATATATGTGCGGTCAGATTTCTTAACTAGTCGAGTTTGTGGTCTTAAAAGTGCAATTTCACAATGTTTCAGTGTTGATCATGATTAGAAGTTTCACTCGTTAAATGATCACTGAGAAGAAACAACTCCATTGTAGGGAGTAAATTGTGATTGGTCAGTCTAGCGCTCTAAAAAGAGAAAATCCCCTTACTTACATAATCAACTCTCGGTCAATAGATTCTGTTTTACGTCAATTATATGTTTAAGCTCTTCAAAAATTCCTGCAAAGAACAAACTGCAAATTAATCATTGACATTTTGAAACAACTCCATTGTTGGAGGTAAATTTTGACTGGTTAGTCTAGCACTTAAAAAAGAGAAAAACCCAGCTCTCTTGCATACATAATCAACTCTCGGTCAATGCATTCTTTTTTACGTCAATCGAATTTTTAAGCTGATCAAAAATTCCTGCAAAGACCGAACTGCAAATTGATCATTGACATTTTGAAACAACTTTTACCACTGAGTAAAGGCAGACTTTATAATGCTAAGAGCAACTAAAATTTTTGAAAGGAGGAAAGAAACAGTTAAAAAACAGTTAGAGCCTTAAATTGATTTTGAAGGATTCCAAGAAAAGCAAACAAACAAGGTTTTTACACGATTCACCGAGACTGGGACGTCGCTCGTTTTTGCATTCATCTGGTTGTCAGTCATAAATAACACCCTAAAGACTTGATTTTAAATCAATTTGATTCTTCCATACTAGAGCGAATTCATAAAGAACTTTCAAAAATTCCAGAGAGATTTTGGAGTCCTATCAGGAAACTGAGAGCGCAAGTATAAATTCCCTTAGGTTTCTGTTTTTGGCACCCTCAGAAAAACCAAAAGGATATCTCTTTCTCCATTTCTGTTCTTTTAAAAATAACTCAATCTTTATAGTGCATCGTAATGCTATTGAGTCAACTTATGATATTAAGCTGGAAGTCTATGGGGCCATCCTCAGCTGTATTGTGTAAACCACAGTTTCCTCGCAGTATTTCTTGAAGATGTTTAGTTTGCGGCAAAACAGGTGTCTTCACTTCCAGGGAATGTAATGCATTCTGATTCTTCTTCAAATAGCAAAAACCCAAATTGGAGCCATAAACTGAATAAGTCAGAGAAGACGAAAAAGAAAATAGTCGTAACAACAAAAACTGTGAAATCAGGGCTACCCTATGTTTAGTGGCAATCAATCACTTTTCCTCTCCCGCACTATTTCTTACTTCAAATCCCTTGGGCTACATAAATTCCCAAGGATACTATCCCGAAGCAAAAATTGTTACACCTAAAATATTCGTGCCCGAACTCGATGACTGCCAATCGCGATGTAAACCATCTGGTGTAAAGGTTTCGGAGGAAAACGAACAATACGGCAATTGGCCGAAAATGAATCATAGCATAACAATAGGCAAAGTTTGATATGATAGAGCTGATCAACTTAATATGCTTAAAATTTTGTCATTTATTATTGATAAGTGTTGTTGACGGTCAAACTTTTCTCTGTTACATAATCAGTCTAATTTGAAATTCACTTGAATATTCCTTTTTTTAAGTCATCAGTTAACGCTGTAATGATTTCGATTCAATTGCATTAATATGTTGAGAAATGTGCAGGCCTTTCTTCAAACATTTTACTCTTGTAACTTTCTATGGTAACTTTAGTGTGCAACCGCAGCCTGTCTCTATTTTGTATAAACTTATGGACAAGATCAAAAGAGAAACATAAAATCCCAACTGAAAAATCTGGGACCGTCGAGAAAATAAATGTATCTTTTTCTATAGAACTCTGGACTTCAACAAACTTGACACTCTTCCAAGTGATCTTTTCAAGCTCTACAAGTTATTTGATCTGTAAGTTGTTTGCTCTGTAGCTTAATATAGTTGACTGCCGCTGACATGGATCGATTCTCCTTCCTATAATGTCCACTTTTTTAAAACCGAGTCTCACTCACGACCGAGTCAAACCTTTCTAAATTTGGTTTTGAAAATCGGAACAAATACTAACGAATAACTGCATTTGAGAAACATCAGGTTCTTGTATTTATTACATCCATTTTCAAATCCCTGGTGGTCCCTGTAATCTGATTGGTTCTAATTGGTGCGATTTATTCCCAAATCGCACCATTTTTTGCTCTAATTTGCATCATTTTACGCTTGACTGAGTTTTCGACAAATGACGTCAAAGTCTTTCTGTTTTGTATGCAAAATAAGATGTAAATGCGTTTCCGGTTCCACTTTTTATTTAAAAACCGACTCAGTACTGCATTAGTAAAATACTTGAATTGACCAAGTCCTGTATTCGGGCGACTTCAAAATGGATGTAATAAAGTGGTAATTGAACCTTGTGTCGTGCAATTCTAGTCTGAAATCATACTTGTGATTTCAAATTGAACTCGCGCTGCGCGCTCGTTCGATTTTGAAATCACGCGTAGGATTTCAGCCCTAATAATATACACGAGAAAATTTCTCAGTTCTGATTGGTTAAGATGAATGCAGTTTCCAGTTAATTCAGTGCAGAAGAGAGTTAATTCAGTGCAGAAGAGGGTTAATTCAGTGGAAAGAAAGTAACAAACCAGACATTCTGATTGGTCAGTAATCAAAGAAACTCACAGATAGCCAATCAAATGCGAACCTTGGACGTCGCAACATTTGGATACGCTGAAAATTTGCGAGCGAAACGATGGCGGGTATTTTAAGTAGGTTTTCTTCCGTCACTGCAACAACAATACGGCAGCTGAAAAACAGCTCTACCAATGAAAACACGGTAAAAAGTATTGCTTTTTGGTTGTCGGTTTGGAAGAAGTGGTGTTTGGAGAAAGGAATTGCCGCAGAAATCGAAAACTACGAGCCAACGCAGCTTAACAGTTTGCTCGAGCGATTCTCCGCCGAAATTAAAAACAAACATGGGGAAGATTATGAACCGGAAAGTCTGAAAGTAATGAATACATCGCTTGATAGACACTTGAAGAACAAAGGCTATAAACTGTCCATTATTCGCGACAGAGAATTCTGTTCCTCCAAACAAGTACTGGACGGAAAAGCGAAACAGCTTCGCTTAGCTGGCCGCGCCAAGCGCCCAAACAAAGCTCGACAACTATCCGAAGAGGAAGAAGAAATTCTCTGGAAGAGCGAGAAACTCGGTGGTAAAACCCCAGAGTCCTTAATTCAAACAACGTGGTGGCTACTTACTCAACAATTTGGTCTCCGTGGAAGGCAGGAACACCATGGAATGAGACTGGAGGATTTCAGAATCATGAAAGGTGACGACGTCCTTGAATATGTTGAGTTTGCTGAAGGGCCAACGAAGACCAGACCTGGAGGTTTGAACGCAAAGCCAAGACAGTTTCAGCCCAAAATGTTTCAGACCGGCGGAGAGAGATGTCCAGTTGCGTTGTTCCGTATGTACATCAACCGTAGGCCTCGCAGTCTCAGGACGAGTGGTCCGTTTTATCTCTCGATGAAATACAACAGCGGAACTCGCGATGAAACTTGGTAAAAAGTCCAGCCCATTGGAGAAAATAGAATCAACTCCATGATGAAAAATATCATCTTCCAAACCAGCCTTCAGTCATCCGAGAAGCGGTTTACGAATCACATTGCCCGCAAAACGCTCGTTAGCAAGATGAAGAAAGCAAATCTTGAGAGGTCGTGCATTGCAAAAGTCGCTGGCCACAGAAATATCCAGTCTTTAGATGACTACGATGAAGCCGACGAAGACGAACAGCGACAGCTTTCGTGGGCCATCTCAAAGGGAAATAGTACACCAAAATCCGCGTCGGTGGCGGTTAGTTCATCTGGTCCTTCCGCTTCCAATGCAGTAATTTCACACATGATGACATGATGAGCTCTCAAGCGCAGAATCTGATGAATTCCTTCACTAACTGCACTGTGACATTCAACCTCAACAACAAGGTCTCGCCTGATAAACCTCGCAAACGACGATTTCGTTTCATCGACAGTGATTCGGACACAGACTGAATAATTCCTTGAACAGTTTGGCCGGACTTTGAACGTTTTTGCGCCTTAAAGATGTGAAAGTTTCATTTCATCTGTTGTTTTGATCGTACGCAGTTATTTTGACCATACACACAATGTCACTTACTGGGTTTGAATAAATATTTTTGCACGTGACGCGCGCGCCTTTCTTCTGCATAATTATGATAAGCTACCTGAAATTTTTTCATGTATATTATTAATACGTAATCACATGATTTTCTCGTGCAATTTGGAATAAATAAGTACTTGTAAATTTTTTCAAAGACCACAAATTGCACTCGCCCTACGGGCTCATGCAATTTTGTTAGTCTTTGAAAAGATTTACTCGTGCTTATTTATTCCAAATTGCACTCGAAATCATGTGATTACCTATACAAATTGCACTCCATTCAGTTCAATTACCATTATAAATCGTCCTGAACAACATAGTTAACATTTAGGGGGAAAGACACATCCTTTCTTTTACTTCGGATGACATATCATTTAGACATATGATATGTCATCAGGTTTAAACGGTTCATGTTCCTCTTTCCATCGAGAACAAGCCTTCGGCAAATAGTTGCGCTCTTTGCAATGCCTAGTCAGTACAAGGAATGAAATTCGTTCTAAAATTTGGACGGATATTTAACTTAAATGCGTTTTACAGGTGGCTGGGAAATAAAAACTTAAAAAACTTATCTGAAGATCTCTTCGCTGGGCAAGATCTGTTAAAATATTTGTGAGTAGCACCTTTTCAAACAAACATTAGGGAAAGTAATTAAATTTTCTCTCTTTTGTATCTGACGGGATGGCATGTGTCAGCAGCGTGAACATAATTTCAATTGGAAGCGTTTAGTTTTGTATCCAAAGTGTAATTATTCAAAAGCGTAACGTTTTCGGATTTAAGTAGGGCGTATTTGTGGTGGTGGTACGGTAGTTACATGTTTGTGCGTGCGCATCTCTGGGTGATTGAGTGAGGGTGCTAATTACATTCGTGCACAACATATTTATGAATAATTATCTACATGTAAACATGAACAGCACGAAAGAAATTAAAACAGTTTAGCATGGAAATCTCGAACAAGTTACTCGGTCAGATCATTTGAAAGGCACAATACGCTGTATCCTCCAGGCTCAAGTATCTTATTAAGAGTCAATGAAGAGGAAAAACAAAGGCTTTTAACACAATGGTTCTATCAATAAATTGTCAGTGCTAATTCAGAGGGAGTAGTGTCTTGTAGCACTTTACTTTCTGAGCATGCACTAGATTACTTCAGATGGACCAAGACGCTTTTGGAAACGCTGTGTTGTTTGATTAAAATCAGTTGTAGTATATTTGATGACTAGAGTTAAAAAGTAAGAAGCGAACAGAAATTTTTGAAAAACCCTATTAAAATCCCCAGCGCCTTGTCGGAAAATAAACCGGGCAAACACCATAGCGAGGCTTACGGTGACCCGCAGAACATAAACAAAGGAGTCAAGGCTCTTTTCGAGAGAATGTTTTCGACGTTTATTCTTTAACACCTACTAAACAATGATCGTATTAAAAGGCAAAAAAACTGCAACGATATCCCGGAACTAGAAGCGAATGATATAACAAAAATTTTGCGCTCTAATACAGACTTAAGCTAGAAAATCACGTCAAAAATTGAAATATCTTTTATGATGTGAATATTCTAAGTACAATTAGATCATCAGAAAATCTCTGTGTCAAGTTTGAAGCATCTTTCGTCCAATTAGATCTTTTTTATCATTTTCTATGTGTAGGCGGTTGAGTGGTAATCGGCTGGAAAAGCTGCCTCGAAACATTCTTCAAGGAATGTCCGCCTTGGTTGAAGTGTAAGTATAAATTTTGTCATTTGTTGTCAAAAATTCTTCGTCAGCATTAAATATTCCTTTCCTCTACGTTGCATTTATATGTGATCTATGACTCTTTGTTTGTTTGTTTGGTTTTTTTTCCAATCATCTCACTTTCCAAACACTGTTTTAGGGACTTGTCCTACAATCAGTTGCAGAGTTTGCCTCGAGGGATACTAAACAGTAATACCAAACTGAAAGTACTGTAAGTAGGACTTTTCTATGTACGAAAAAAAAACTTTTACAGGTCAGTGTTAGCATTCCTGGGTGGTGGTCCAAACTAGTTGAGAATATCGCTTATTTCTAGCTTTCTCGAACTGAGTTTGTTCCTTTGGAATTCGAAATCACTGAGTAAAGTGTTAAGAGATAGATTTCGTAGTACAATGAAAGGTCTCTCTGCCATTGTTGTCCTAGTAGAAGGTTTCTGAGCCTTAAGTGTGGAATAAATCTTTCTATTAAGTCCAGTTGCTCCATATTGGAGATTGTTGGTGATAACTGATATCCTTACAGACACTCAAAAAGGCTTTTCATTTCCTTATTTGGTTAAAAATAACTAGTATTATATTATTAGCCAGCCGATTTAGCTCACATTACAGAAACGTTAGAGATCGGGCCAGACTTTCCCATCTTCCAAATAGATTTTATGTTGTTAAATGTTAGCTTACTATTTGTTTCAAAGGGATTTGTCAAACAACAAAATTGAGCGTCTTCCCCAAGATGTTTTTAGCAACCTTACTCAGTTGAAAAGGCTGTAAGTGGCAGTTTGTACGCCTTTACAGCGAGTGAAACCGTACATTTTTTTAAAGAGGTTTTGGTTAAACCTTCGCATTGTGGCCATTCCAAATAGAATGCTATTATAATAAAAATATCAACGTAAACTGCTCCATACGCTTCACTAGCTTCAGTATATAACAGAGTGAGGAGAGGTTGGAACCTCTCCCCGCTCTGGTATATAATGCTAACTTTAGTGGATTTGGTCACCAACAGCTGTGAAAATAAAATATATATTAAAAAAGTAAGATTGATTGTCTCGCTTAGCGCTTTTCACCACTTGACCTGTGACTTTTTTTTCTTTTTTTTTTTTTTTTGCTAAACGATCAGGAAAGGTATAAATTATTACAACCCAACTACCACAGGATGGATTTGCGATATGAGCAACTCTTCGAATTCATATTTTCAATGCACCAATACTGAGGAGGGAATTTATGCCATGATATGCAAACGACCATTTAAACAGCGGAAGTACAAATGGCACCAGTTTTTCCTATTCTAAAGTCCAGAAGTAAAAGGTTTAGCTACTCAGCTAAGATGTATTAACTCTCAATGTATTAACACTTTGCTGTCTTTACGTCCGTAAGATGTATTACCTTGAAAATAAACAGATAGGTTTTACTGTCAATTCCCGAGGTCCCTTCTGTGATAAAAAAATATTCTCCGTGAGTCTCAAATACCAACGCAGTTACCTTGATTTTCAACTGTTTTCCATTTTTTTTCTTCTTTTTCAGCTTTCTCTCCAATAACAAACTTCAGCGTTTGCCAAAGTTCAACAATCTCTCTGAGATAGAAACATTGTAAGTGATTCGTGTTTGTAATAAACACTGGTTCAGTACGTATTTTGTTTAATGAGCATTGATGAAAAGGGAGCTTTGTCAGAAATAGAGGATTAGTGTGCCTACCTATTATTTCTCTAATATTCTCGTGACCTAATTAACAGCTGTTTTAAGGATTTTAACCGAAAAAATATACAGTAACTTTTAAAATAAATGCAGAAAATAAGAATCACAATCATCATGTTTTCAAGACACCGCAGCACATGGAGGATATTACACGGCCGCGCGAAGATACGAAATTTCTCTTCGAGTTTTCAAAGATACTTTTCAACACGAGAAAACAAATTTCGTATCTCTAATCGGCCATGAATATTCTACTTATTATATAAACACGAATAAAACAGCTCACCTTTTCCCTTTAGTTGCAAAAGGTACAATTTGCTATGGAACCTTAGTGACGGCGATAGTTTTACTTGTAAAGATGTGTTACTTTCACTGTGCGCGAAAGCTCGCCAGGTATTTCATTAGTGTTTATATACCAAAATATAATACCACACACTACTTTATTGACGCCTTTCCATGAGGCTAAAGCGATATATGATGATGATGATGATGATGATGTTCAAAATCGTAACAAAGCAAAAACAAAGCGGTTAATCAAGTGGATTAATAATTATCACAGAACATTTGGGTTCATGACTATTCAAATTCTCTTAGAAAAAACGTCTACTAGTTAGTAGGCAATCTTTTCAAAATCTAAACTTAAAGTGGAATGTTAATCAGGACAAAAAGTCTATAACTTTCAGGATTTTTCAAGCAACAAGGGGTGTTAAAAAGCTTCGAACACTGTATTTCGATAAGAAATTTAAATACTAGCTTTTGCTCGATCGAAAAATTAAGTAGGCACAAAACCGGCCCGCCAGTTTACATCAGCTTAACGACGATGTACACCCCGGGTATAGACCGTCGTTAAGCCATTATTTAACCGGCAGTCAGAACAATCAGTACAAGCGTGCGTGATCAAATGTTCTTGTCTCGATAAAAGCAGTCTGGTGATTCTTTTTAATGAAGTTTTTGACAACTTTGATGAGCAGTTAAACAGTTTGCTGAAGAATAAGGCACGAATATTTTAAAGAAGAACATTTATATGAGGTGGAAAAAACGATATGAATGATCTTAGCCGAACCCGACAATGAACGTTTCTAAGCCCAACCAATTATTGAAAATGATCTTTACTGTTAAATGGCGATACAGAGAGTCTCGTGCATTTCATTTATCGCGTAGATACATGGAGAAAAACAGCCTCGTAACCCTGTCACCAGATCAGTTCCAAGGCCTGTCCAAATTGAAAGACCTGTAAGTAAACTTAGCAATTTTATATGAACGAGATAGCGTACGGAAATTATATCTAATTACACTGGTAAAAATTCTTGTCCTTACACGAGATATCTGATCATCTGTAATCAATTTTCATTAGCGACTGTCTTATTATTTGGTTGACTTAAATTTTCTGTTAGAGGATGTGCGATTGCGAAAGGAAAAAGAACATATACTTGAGGAATAAGTAACTCTGAATTATAAGTTAAATTGCGTCTGTGGCGTGGTACAAAAAAGTGAGCAGACTTTTTCCCTCACCCACCCATGGTTTCTTTGAATTACTCAACCTTGTGTGCCTTGGCTGACTTAGATTCAGACACCTTGGAGGTTATCAAGGTCACGTATGACGTTGCTCGAGTTTGAAGTTGCTATTACATCCAGGATAGCAACTGCGAACTCTGATCTCCTTGGCATGATGTCACGTGACAGGATAAAAAAGATAATTACTAAAAGAATGTAGCAATTCTTCCCAACTCAGCGCATACTCATACTAGGATTAAGCAAGGCAACCGCTAAATGGCATTACCTAATTTTTTAAGTAGTCCCAAGCAGTGAGGTATTTTCAATCTTCTTTTTGGCGTCACATATTGTATAAAGATGTTTTTGGTACAATGAATATATGAAGCTCATATATTTGAACTGGGGTATTAAATACGTATGATAAACGATCCTTCGCAGTAGAGAGCGCTATTTGTGCAATAGCGAAAATCAGACCTGAAAAAATTAGGCCTGTACGGGATTCGAACCACTGACCTCTGCGATATTAGTGCAGCTCTCTACCAATTGAGCTAACAAGCCTGTTTACTTGTTATTACAAAGATTTTTTTGTGATAAGACATGGAAGAGTCGATAAAGCTATTTGAAGTTTTTGTTGTTTTTTTTTTGGAATGGAAGTTTGCCTCTAGAGTTTTCTGTATTTTAAGTAATAATGACCTGTCCTCTTTGTCATTCAGGGCTGTTTATGAGAACAATATTCAGTACCTGCCGCCTGGAGTTTTTAAAGGCTTAACAAACATACAGTCTATGTAAGTCTCTGTTTCTCATTACCATTTTTATTCGACGTTAGTGAAGCTCTGCAAAACAGGGGTCTTGTGAAAGTGCAGTCGTCCGCATGTTCTACATCTCCGTCATTTGAGCAGGTTGTGTCAAAAATTACGCACGAG